TATCAGGCTGCAGGGACTTCAGAGGCAGGATCAAACATTCTCTGTACACTTATAGAAAGCCATACTAGTAAAACTACAAGCCTCAGAGTTGGGAATTATTTCTGTACTACTACATATAAAAATGAATATTCCCAAAAAGAAGGCAAGTCCTGCCAACTTGTGAAATGTCACTGATGGAGGAGCTCCAGGTCACTATTTCCCCAGCAGTGTGGCAACTCTACAGAGATGGAAAGACTCAGAGAAGCCAGGCAAACACAGATATATCTACTGCAAAACCCACAGCTCTGGGACTGACCCACTCTCACCATCATCAGGTCAATCCTCTTTTAATGTCAGCTAAATGATGTGATGAAAGGCTCATAAAAAAAACCATGTGCAGGGTTTATATATGCCTAGACAAGGGTTCTTCACTCTGAGAGGGTCATGTTGTTACACACCTAGAGATAGGGCTTGGTGCCCAGGGCAGGCACTGCCTAGGCTGCAATTAGAGAAAGCAGCCACAGCCCTGGTCTGTGGTCCTAGGGAAACTATCCAAGAATAAACAGGGTTAGATGGTTGTCAGCTGCACTCATTCAACTCACAATCTGCCACCTGTGCCCCCCCTCCTCCCCCCAGTTAAGTCACTAATTCAAAGTACTCCTGTGCCTTTTTACAGGTTTATTACACGTTGTGTAAGCAGCTGAAAGATCAACACCTTGTTTGTCAGTAGAAACACATGGAATTTGGCAGAAACTCTCCTATCCAGTGGAACACAAATTAGCTGGGAGGCAGATGCGATTTATTCATGGCTGCATCAGCTTCAGGGACTGTGATTCATGTTGCACAATGAAGCAGCTCTGCAGAGCTACAAAGGGCTGTGAAGTCGACCTGTTGGTGAAAGCTACCCTGTTCTGCAAATGTGTGTAGCAGGACTTGAGATTCCTGCCAGCTGTAGTCCCAGACCTGACACCTCAGCTTCAGAAAGAAAAAGGAGTTTAAAGGCAAATAAAGCCAGTTTCAAAGGGAAAGGTGAGCAAAATGGCTTTGAGCTGTCAGCAGGAGCGCATGCAAAATACAGATGGAGAAAGCAGCCTGAGATTTTACTTTGTAGCATAGCTAGTACCAGCTTATATGATTTTCTGTGTGTGCAGAACTCCAGGCACTCATTGTCGTGACAGGGACTGGAATAGACACTGAACCGCATACAGCACACATGGGTGCAATTATCATGTCTGGAACAGCAACAGCTCTAAGTGACATTTTGCTAGAGTGAGTGGCTAATCTAATCTCTTCTCCTTCAGTCTGAAGGCTGGAACTCATGGGAGAAGAGCCTGCTGAACCAGCGAAACAGGATAGAGATGTAACAACTCTGGCAGTTGGTGAACAGGAGACTTTAAACAAGTAATGTCCTGAAAAGTGAATATGAGCTGTATTTGTGCCAGTAATCCCTACTGGGAAAAAGCCAGGCGGGAAGTTGACAATTGCAAGATGCCAAGTAGAGAAAGGGAAAAAAAAATAAAATACTAAACTAAATGAGTTTTAAAAAGAATGTAAAGTACTCCAGGGGTTACCAAAAAACCCTGCCTAAGTGATTGAAGAGAAATGGCAAATGAAAACAGACTTTGGCAGGCAGGGCACAGTTAACTGCAAGTGGCCTAAATACCATAGGTGTGAAAGTGACACTGAACAGGGTCACGGTGCACCTGGACTCCCAGCTGCACTGCACCTTCTGTGGGCCGGGCTTCCCACTGCAGCCTTACCTCATCTCCAAGGGGAAAACCGAATCCTCACCACACACCCTCTCTCCCTGGTTGCTGCTTCCTTTCTCCTGCTTCCCCTTTTCCAGTGAAGTTCTCGCACGCCCCCCGCTCTGCCTGCCCGGGCAGCAGGATCCCGCTGTTATCCGAGCCAGCGTGGCCCGGGATGGCGCAGCCGTGAAGTTAGCCCAGCTTCCAGCCCCGCTCGCCCCATTCCCGCCCCCACAGCACGGGGCCAGCTGCTGCAGCTCCAACGGTTTTACAGCCATGTACGCTGACCTCATGGCACAGGCTGGGAGACGTGTGGGACACCGCAAACCACCCCCCGCAACAGGCAGCGAGACAACACCCCCTCCCTGCACGCAGGCAGCGACGCCAGGGTCAAGATTCCCTCCCTATTGTAATTATTTTTGCTTTGCGCAGAGATTTATCACATGCAGCTGCCACAACTTGTTTACAAGACACAAAAGCCATGAAAACAAGGTTGACGAAGTCTGCGTGAGAGCTGTTTTCCCTGGCATGAATTTGTCATACCTCTTAGCTCGCTGACGCCCTGGCTGGCCACACAGTCTCCAGTAACACACGGCAGTGCCTTCCCTTCAGCTTCCAGCCGAAGTGTGTGTTTTCAGTCAGAGACTGGGTTCTGACAAAACTGCTTTGCATTTAGGTTTATCACTGCTGCAAGAACAGCAAAACCACCCATGTTGTCTCACTGCTTCTTTATATTATTTTTTTCTTTTCCGTGGTAAAATAAGTTTGACAAATAAATTTTTGTTTGCTCTGCCAGGGATCTGTGGCCAGCACTTGAAGCCTTTGGTTTGTTACTTGGACTCCTGCTCAGTTCAGGATCCTAGCTCCACCCAATGCCCTACATATACCTACCTACCTTTGATAACTTTATCTAAAGTTACTTCAGGTTTATGCTCAATAAAAACAGGTTTAGGTAAACGTCAATAGCCAGCACCAAACTATCAGCGCTAGATTACAAGAGAGCAGAAACTCCCTTTTGATACATTTTAGTGGGTACTCAATATGAGTCATTTTCTTCTTCTAAATTAAATAACACCTCAGGCTAGGGAAAAGCTTTTACATGGTGTGGTGTCAGGTGCTACTCAGCCACAGCCATCTGACTTGTGAGTACAGCCAAACTTCTAGGTGTAACCTTAATACAAGTCATAATTTAAGAAGTATATAACTAGCCTCAATCAAAATTGGTCACCAGTGCAGTTCCCACGGTAAGTCAGTCAGCAAAATGGAAATGCAGTGCTAATCACACGAGCAGGACTTTGGTGGTCATTTACACTAATACTACTTTGCGTGGCATAATATTAAATGAAAACAGCAGAGAGACCACAGGCTTTTACTTTCAATGAAAACTGTTAACCTGAATGGCAACAGCTTTCTTCCTCATTCTATTTTCATTTTCAATATTGCAGCTGCCTTAGTGAAATTACAGAACTGGTCAGTTCAACCAGCAAAGTTTTTTCTTTTTAAACTTGCGGACATTTTTTATGTTAAAGGGCAAAGTAATGAAGAGTAAAGATCTCTGAAAATGCCCTTTAATGATGTGAGTGCCCCACAGCACACCAGCAAACTGCTTTGAAAAAAAAGGAAACAAAAGAGGAAAATGTCTAGCAATTCAAATCAAACAATGCAAACGTACTTGTGAGGCTGTCTTTCTTTCATTCATGAAGCATGGGTGTAAGGAATGTTGCAATAAAGTTCCTTCCAGCAAGAACCGGAAAGGACAAGGCATCTTCCAAACCTTTATCAAAGATGACACTCCACTTTGGGTGTGTAGCACCCCTTAAAGATAAATCACCTATTCCACAAAACCATGTCTATTAACCAACTTTTCCCTCAACATGAACCTCACAGTGACAAAAAAGTACACTTCCATTTTACATTAGTCATTAAAAAAACCCAACCAAACAATACAAACATAGGTATCCCAGGAAAAATAGCTCAGAAGTATCAAGTACAGCGTGTCCACAAACACTACACCAGGCTCTTCCTGTACCCACCTGCAATGCCTTGAAGACAGAGTATACAGCCATCTCTATGTTCAAAATTATTTTCCAGCTTTATTTCCAATTTTTTAAAAAATAATTCTATATTCATACAGTATATTAGGAGACTGTGTTACCAAAGCAGTCATAAGTAAACCAGTGTTTACTGTTTGCCATTTTGATTTTAAACAAGAAGGTTCAAGAAAGGCACAAGTTCAGAAAAATTCCAAAGAACACTCCAGAGAACAAACAAAATGTATCTGACACTAGAAAATTATAAAGGCCACAGCAAAACAGTATAGCAGTCAGAATATTGTAGTCTTCTTTCTACTCATAAAGATATCCTTAAATTCACCAACTCTCCTACTCCTCAAAGCCCTCCCCCAACCTCCCAAACAGACAACTGGTTTGTTTTTAAAGATTAGCCAGAAGCAGTAATTTTTTTTACCCTGGAGGTCTGTTATTTCATTGTTGCTGGAAGGCTAAGGGTGGTCGACTGACATTCAAGTAAGTTGAAATGTGAGTTACAAGTCTTCACCATTTTCAGTAATAAGTCATTTTGATAGCAAAGTCCTTTTCTGAAAGGTAACTTAGATTCTGTTGGCAAAAATACAACCCAATACAACAGGGATCTCTTCTAAATCTTAGCCAACCACCTGTTAAAGTGTCTTAAAAAGACCTGGGTCCCAGAACTCAGATTTCAATGCAATACTGCCTACTTTATTTCAGTCTACTAGAATTACTGAGTAAAAGCCTTGTCATTGCTAGTCCAAGTAAGGCTAGAAGCGCTTGCCCTCCCCTATCAAAATTTGTCACCAGTCATGTCTAGGAGCTGCATCACAAAGATCTGCAAAGAACACTTGTCCCAGCCCCTCTTCTGGCCTCTTCCTTTTATCTTCAGATCTTCCCATGGGCCATCACATTTCCCAGCCCTAAAATATTTCAAGGAGCCAAGAGCTGGAACTGTTAGAGGGGCCCAAGGTTTCCCTCTGAAATTTAGTCAGAATTGCCTACATAGCTCCCTTTGGCACCTTAAAAAATTTCAACATAGCAGAACACAATCAGGTACTTCTGGCCCACTTCTCAGCATTTTTCTTAAACATCTGGTTAACAACAACTGGTAGTTTGGTTCATGGCTCTCTGAACCAAACAAAGTCAGTATGAGCTCAAAAATATTTCTCACTTCCATTTGTTTCAAGGGTAATTCATGTTTTCTTCAAAGCTTGTATTCAACAAAATACTCTGTATGCATCACTTTTAAAGAAAATATTTTATTATATTATGGGAAAAAAGCATGATCATCCAAAGTTTGTATTGTTTAAAAAATTGAAAATTTAGACAACGTGTCGGTATATTCCGTTCCACATGGGAATGATAAGAAGACTCTATATCATTACTAGATATTGCACAGTCTGAAAGAAACAAAACAAATCACATGATCTTGGGAAACATCTCACATTATGAAAAATCTACAAAGAAAACATTAAAAAAATCCCAACAAAACACACAATCCTTTCTTTCTACAGTAGCTTTAAGTTCGTAATTCTTGGAATGACCGTATTCCACTGAAGACCATCTCAGTGACAGGAAGCTTCATTTCAGCAATCCCCTTGTGCAAATAAGATTAATAAAAAAAAATAATAATAACGCAGTGAAGTCTTTTGATATCGTGTGGGTGGCAATAACCACACAGCTGTTAGATCCCTGCCTGGTAAAACAAAACGGGGAAGGAGAAGGAAGGGGATTTAGGCCATAAGTTTTGCCTGCAACTCCATCTCTGCCGCCCTTTTGAGTGCAACATCCACCAGAAGCTGAAATCCACTAAAATCCTGGTTAAGGTCTGGTGGTGTTGGAGGAGGAGTGTTAAAGAGCCCACTCTGTGTGTTTGCACCAGGTCCCAGTTTGGATGCGTCCTCGTGGCAGGAGAGGGGGCTATCTGTGAAGCCGCCAGCCGGGGCCTGCTGCAGGTCCGTGGTCTGGCCTACATCAGCTGGCTGGCAAAAGTGGAAAGGGGCATCTTTCAACGCAGTCACAGTCGTGTGGCAAATCACTGATGGCCGAGCCAGGACCGATCCCGGGGAAGCCGCCTTGGGAGAGGACACAGTTTTGCCGAGCGGCGCGGCAGCGGGAAGGAAGGCAGTCTCATCCAGCAGGGGAATGTAGTTCTTTGTGCTGATGGCAGACTCCACCAGGCCGCCCTCGGGAAGCTTGGTCCCTCGCCGCGAGATAGTGAACTGATTTGGGTCTTTGCCATCCTTCCTCAGCATGTCAGGTAACAGCCTGCGGCGTGCATTGATAAACCAGTTGCAGACCTGGGAATATAATGACATCTTAATTTCTACCTTCATTCATTCCCAACTATGTGCCACTAGAGCAGACAGTTAGATTAATGAATCCCTCCAAGCAGTTTCCTGCACTGCACAACAAAATAGAGACCTACTGACAAGTTCTGACATGCCTGGCAAAGGCCCTTCCCTTGTCCCCGTGCTACCAACTCCCTGCTCCTGTTACAGAAAGCCCCTGGACATCTGAAGTCCAAACTAGGAGTTTAGCTTTTAACTCTGTGCACACACATTAACCTATTGGCTATTGTTCCCTAGCTTAGGTTAATTAACAACAGGAAAACCTTTTCTCTCTGAAGAGAGCCACTCCTCCCACAAATAGTTACTGATTTTCCTTGTTCAACTGACTGTGTCGACAGACATAACATGAATTACCTCACTTAAGTTTGTCCTTGTTTAAATATCAACCAGTTTCCTGGGCAATACAGGATAGTTTATAGTTTAACGTCTTTTTTCTCTGTACTACATAAAGGAAGTCTTCTTTGTAATGTTGCATTAAGAAAATTTTACTCTATAGCCAATTATGAACTTTGCACTAATGAATTATCATGGAAAAATAAAGCCCAGGACTCAACAGGAGTGCTCTCTATTTAGCAGCTCCCAAAACCAAACCCTCGTTTACCCAAGTTCTCATGCAGCCACCTTCCCACAACATGGGATGCAGCAATGGGCAAAAGCTATTCGACCAAAGACGAGCGATCACAGAAGATGAGAATGATGCGCCCAAGGGACCTCACAGATGCCAGTGGCATCCCAGGATAAGAATCCAAAATAAACATACAAACACCTCATCATACCTGCACTAACACCCTTGAGTAGCTCTATCTCATACAGGTTGTTCCACTGATTTTAATGGCAGTGATCACACACATAATTATACGTGTCCGTGTTCTACTGGAACGAGCATCAAGTTGCCATTTTACAAGTGAAGAGTTACATGCTAAGCTGCACATCTATCACCATAAAACCTCTGTTGACAAATAAATACCTTCTTCTCACAATAAATTACCTTGTACAGACACTTTATGTCTTTTGGGGCACGGTTCTGCAAAAAATTAGCATGCATGCTCCAATTCATGACTGTCTGTTCTCCCAGAGAAATAATTTTATTCCCAATAAACAAAGATCATCGTAACACATAATCAGTCTCTATCTCTCCTTATGAGTGCCATCAGCAGGAGAGTAGCAATAAAAAAGGAAATCTCGCATGCAGTGTAAACATTTGTATCCATGACTAGACCACAGGTGATTTAAAACAGAAAACAGCTCCTTTAGAATGGAGAACTACTTTTTTAAATACCTGTAGTGTGGAAAGGTGTGTTTGTCGGGATAACAGCGCTTTTTCTTGCTCTGAAGGATAAGCATTGTATCGGTGCTCATAGAGCCAGTCCCGAAGAATCTGCACAGATTCCTTGGGCAGGTTGCCACGTCTCCGCCGTTTGCCTGAGCCAGCAGATGAGGAAAGATCCAGTGGGACATCCATAGTGTCATCATCCTCCGTTTCACTGCCTGATATTGCAACTACACCTACAATTGTAAGACAAGCACAATCAGCCTCCTAAATCCGTTAACTACTTGGCTCCAGCACTGTATGGCACAGACATTTTATATCACGTGAGCTGCCTTTGCTGTTACAGCCCTTGTACGGGAGATCCGTCCTGCAGCATTAACCTGTCATGCTGTAGCTTTTCTGTCAGCTAACAAAAAAGTAGCACCAATGATCCGTTCCTAAAGGAATTCTTCTCTGCAAACCTTCACTTTCTTGTTCCCCTGGCAACCTTTTATCTGCTGAACGTTATCAGATAGCTTCTATCTAATGAGGATATTGTCCAAGTTTGCTGGCTATGGTATGCATCCAGCACTTCTTTTCAAGGATAACTAACCAGTGGCTGAGCAAAAGGTCAGCATGCAAGACCCAACTCAAGCAATAGGGTATTTAATGATTTCTTAACATCCTGATGCTTGTCTCTTGCGAGGGATAGGTTGTAGATTTTATAAATGAATAATTACATCTATTCAGAAAAATTAATGAAAGAAGAGAAAAAGAAAGGGAAAAATTGTGTTTCTCACCACCTGTAAGGAGATTTTCACTTACAAAGGGAAAAAAGTGCAAAAGAAGGGAAGAATCGGGTGCCTAAGAGTTCACCAGTTTATCAGGAAATTGACTCTCAGTTAATTCTATTCTGTATCAAAGAACCATGATCATTTAGATGTACTAGTTTTTCTCCTATTTTTTCAACTTTGTGGTTTTCATCTCATATTTTTATCCCCGGAAACGTGCGTTCTGTGCTATGCTTACTATAAGGACTCCAAACTTACCAGTTAACTGCATACCTTCTCCCTCCAACACAAAGGAAGGAACAGATTTCACAATCTGATTATCCCTTTATATATGTATACCACACTACTAGTAACATGAAGCTATGGAATGTAAATCAAACAAATGAGGAACTATTCAATAGTTAGGAAGGCTACAATTCTACTCCTTTGGTAGGATACACGAGTCACTAGTTCCATAAAACACAAAGAAAACCATGGTTTAAACTCACCAGAAATTTTAGGAATCTTACAAACTATATACAAGTCCAAATAAGATACTACCCACATTCAGCTAGTACAAATTAATACTAATTTCAAGTGAACTCACACTGGCTTTCCAAAGCAGTTTTAGAAACTACAGAAGGAAAACAAGCCCTTAATCTTTTTGTCTCCTGAATTTAGATTGGGGGGTTGATGGATGGAAAGGAAGAAATTTGCTCACTTGTAACACCAAAACTAAAAACCTTAATAGTAAAGCCAACTAAATGTCAGAAGTAAAATTTTTCTGTGGGAAACCACCCATAATTAAAAAATTCTATTCAAGGAAATAAAGTAAGCCCTAAACAACCAGAAGTGAACCTGTGAAAATATTAAACTATATAAAACTATGTTATATCCATAAGTAAAGGCACTTACGGAAGTGAGAAGCAAGAAGGAAGTAATGCCCTTTAAAAAAAACCAACCAGCCAGCTACCAAAGCCCCCAGCACCACACAAAGAAAGATAGAAGGTATGCATGTGCAAGTTTTCCTTAATACTTGGCAGGAGAGTAGGGAGAGAAACAGAGAAGGACCTTTCCTCACACTTCCAAACTTCAGCCAAAGCTGACACGGTAAATTATTCTTTCCTTCCCCTATTTATGAATAGCTCCAACATCCTTAAATTTAGTTTAAGTTGTCCAACTTGAAATGCACAGTTTTGATACGCAAGCATTCCCAACAGGATGATCAATCCACAATCTGTCTGGCATAGTTGCTTCAGTAACTTACTTGGTATTGTTTTCATTCTCCCAATTGCTGATTTATGTAACCGACAAACACCAAACTGACATACCAAATTTTTCATCTGATGATTAGCTACATAAATTATCCAGTCATGGAACAGGAACAATAGGACAATATTTAAATAACCAACACAAGATAAAACTCCAAATTATGTAAACAGTTTCTTAATTCATGTAGAAAGTATGTCAAAAGTTTGCTTTACAATGATTCCAAGCAAACCACTTTGTCATAGCTTCATGGAAAGTGCTGTCATGCTTGCAACCTGACCTGAGACCATGCCTTGCACCATAGGCTCCTGGAGCCATGAGGAACAGTTCTGGGAACAAAGATCCTGCAGAGACAACAGGACAGCTCTGCAAAGCAGCTCAGCCCTTTTAAATTGAATTTAAAAACCAGCTAAAACTAGCCCATGCTATTCAGACAATGTTTTGAAGTGCGCTGTTCTTGTTTGTCAGGAACCAGAACTGTTGCAGCACTTCACAGGGTTGGGTTTTTTGTTTGTTTTTAAATATAATGGGCAGTAAGGCAAGACCTTGGAAAAGAGGGAGAGGCAAACAGCAAGGGCTGGAAACAAGAGGAAAGGAGAAACTACTGTGAAAAAGTTAGATGTCTAACGGTCTGCAAGCAGTATTTACATGGCATAACAAGAAGTACAACAGGTACACACCACCCAATCTGAAGTGACTTTTCCAGGATCTACCACACAATTAAAACACTCCACGGACATCTCTCTGAATTTCAGAAAACTTGACTTAAACCAGCAAAACCTCTCCTAGAACTGTTGCTTTTCCTTTAGCTGGGAAAAAAAAAAAAAAAGGGATAAGATACTGTGTGCAAGCCAGCACTACAAAAACGTTTCTCCCTTTTCAAATAAGATCTTTTGCTAAAGTAAAAGTTGTCATCTGACTAACCGTAACCTACCTAGCAAGAAATGAGTCACCAGCAGAGCCAGCCCTTTGACCTGCTGCCTTAGTGTGTCATATTAATTGACACAGTAAGTTAGTGACACAAAGCAGGTTTTGGTTAAGCAGGAAACCCAGTGTAGTACAGACTTCTGCTCATTTAAATGAGCTCATTTAAATAGCTGATCAGCCCTCTGAACTCGTGGCAGATCTCTCAGGCGCAGTACAGAGCTAGCAGCAACAGGAAGTCATGGCTAGAAATCTCGCACTACCCCAGCTGATATTTTTTACTAGAGCAGGAGCCACATTGCTGCTGTCAAGGCTCTGTTTTCATTAAAGCATTCCTGCTGATTACAACCCAGCTTTGTTTTTCCGTCTTGTTAGTAATCAGCCTATTCGCTGCTGGTTTCCTGTTTTAACAGGGCCCAACTGAAAAGGGTCCTGGCCACGCTCCATGACTGGACCATTGGCTTACTGTTATTTACACCCAGAATAAAGGCCTGTGGACACGATGAGTAGCCCCAGCTGACCTACTAATTTATTTTGTATTAAAAGCAGGCTATGGCCAGGCTATTTTATGTCTCCTCCTAAATACATTTAATCCAAACAAAAAAAACCTGCTTTTATAGAACTAAAATTAAAGCACCACAAGTTCATTTGCAGAGAGGTCTGAGAAACAACACAAAATCCCATTCCTTCATTTCCACACAGCCACTTAAAAGAGTAGTCTGTGCTATTAGTGACCTAAGGACTACATGATCAGCATCCCCTTATAAATTACTTTATCCTCCTGACTTCCCAGCTGAAGTCATATACACGACTGAATGCACTTTTGCATTGTATCACAGCCCAAAGACTTCACAGGTCCTCCCCGTAATCAGCTCAGGGAAGATTACACCTAGGATCTGGAGTCTGGGCTCAAACGTTAGTTAACAGCTTGAAACAACCTGAGTAAAAGTACAGTGATGACTAAAGCTGATTTCAAAACAAACCACTGCCACTTAAAAAGGTATGCTGAAATACTTTGAGGGGGAGGACAAAGTATTTACAGAGGCTGATACAAATGAAATGGAAGTTAAGCAAACGAAAAATTTAGGCTATGAGGGGGGCGGAAAAAAAAAAGGCACAAAAAAAAAACAACTATCCCATTGTGTCGAGGAAGAGCTTCACAGAGGAAGTGGCAGAAGCCAATTGTTATTCAAAAGAGGACAAAGTATACCACAAGGAACAATCTCTGCCCTCCAGAGAGGGGATGGACAAAAATCACCTTAAAGAAAACCTCCCACCCCTTAGGGTTCTCTGAATTTCTTTAGTGAGGTTTTTTTTTTACGAGCGCTGATAAACAGAACCAGTTCCCATCCAAGCCTCCGATCCTTTTGTAACCAAGTTCAGTAAGATTCTTCACATGTACAAACTTGAGCACATGCCTGTGCCTTTTCGAGACTGTGTTCTAAATCAGCTAATTAACAAGCCAAGTAGGTTTCGTGTGACTGCTATCACGTTATTATTTGTAAATTAAACTATCCATAGAAGAATCCTGAGGTTTAAATCCAGAGTCTGCTAGCTTAAAAAAGAAAAAAAAAAAACAGAAAAACAAACAAACAAAAAAAAAACCTCAACAAAACTAACCGTCAACAAAAACACAGCATCACACACTAAACCAAGAAATCTAACCAAAATGCAATGCAAATTTAAAAATAAACAACAAAAATACTTTAGTTTAAAATTATTCATAAGTACCAAAAAACTACAAGGATACAGAAGGGAATTTCCACAGAAAAAAAAAAAAAACCAAAAAAAACAAACCACCACCTCTCTCCTCTGAATGAGTTTCATAATTGAGGAACCAGCCTATTTGTTTTCCTCTGTACTTTACAGCTTGCACTCTATTACTTCTAAAGCAACTAGACTTGGCTGTACTATACTTTTTTTTTCTCTCTAAACGGTATTTTTCTAGGAGTGCAAGCAAGAAATCTGTAATAAAGTCACTCTTTGAAACTTCTTGAATGAGCTTCAAGTGCCAGGAGGTCACAAATAAGTACAAGCCCAACCTTTATTAAAACAAAGGCACCCTAGCCCTAACATCTTTTAAAAAGTTTCCGCCTTTGTCTCTTCACCTTTTAATTTGTGCCACGCAAACCCCAGGCCCATGGCCCCTCTCAAAAGTTCTCCCTCCCGCCTGTCACCTTTCATTGTTTCCATTGTTTCAGCCCGGGATTTGCAATCCTCAAAGCAGAGCTTACACTTACACACACACACACACTCTTACACACAAAGCCCTACACATGCATACCTAGAAACTACGTCAGCGTTTTCCACACGCATTTATTTCGGGGGTGGCAAGAACAACAGTTGAAAGTGCAGGGAGTTTGGTATTTCACCAACCAGCAGCTGCCCTCGGGGAGAGAAGTCTGAACAATGGAAGCAACAGCAGACAGGAAACCAGCTCACCACTGCTGTGCAAATAGGCAGCATAGGAATGTCCTAAAAATAACTGGGCTAAATTAATTCAGCGAAACTATAAAAGAGGGGAGGGGGGAAACAAACCACAAACTGCTTCCAACAGGGTGAAGAATCTCGACCTACCTAAGACATTTAAAACCCAGCGCAGTCCCTGGGCACAGGGGGCTGAGCTCGGGGCGCAGCTCCGGCAGTGCCTGGGATCGAGCCCCACTCGGCTCCCGCGGGACGCTGCGCTCCTCAGCACCACCCTGCCTGCTCTTTAAACTTCGCCTTTGTGGCTCAGTTCCCTTTGTGTGCGCTCCTCTTAGCCGAGTGGCATGTCCAAAAAAAACTTCTGACGAGGGCTACAAACCATATTAGTACACACCATGTCTGCAGCAGCCCAATGATTTCACGAACTACATATGCATTAATTGCTCCAAGGGTACTAACAATGAGAGGCTGCTTTACTACGGAGCCGCAGGAATGCATAGTAGGGCGAAAACAGCACAACTCTGGAGTACTGAACATGCGCACTGCTCCCCTCTAACCCTCCACTTCGGAGCATTTAATGGTCTTTGAATGCAAAACACCCTTCAGCCACACCGCCGACTGGCAAATCGCAACTGAACAGACACTGCTTTGCTATGAACTTCTTCCCAGCCAGCGCAGGAGCGCTAGATCCGAAAGCACGTTCCGCGTCTTTGTGGCCAAGCGCTAATTTAAGGGCACTTAAAGCACCACGAGTGCGATGAGTAACGATCCTCTAACTGTAAAGTTTGTCTGTTTGGAAGTGGACACAAAGAAAACTCAAACAGCATTATGGTTATGGGGCGGGGGGAGGGGGGGGGGGAAGTCTTTTTCCTTTTAACCCTGCGTCAAAACTTTTGTACTTTGTGTTTCGTCCCCCTGTTTTAAGGGCTAAAAGGGATAAAAAAGGCTTCAACTTTCAGCAAAACAAGGCGGTCGAGGGCGCGGAGGGGTTCGAAGCCCTGCCACCGATGCCCCCCCACGCCTCAAGCCCCACGCTGCCTGCCCCGCGAACAAAGAGTTGCCGGACGGCCCCGCTCTCCTCGCCCCAAGTTGGGAAAACCACCCGCACCCTCGTCCCCCTCTCGGGGATGGTGGGGCTCCGTGCGGAAAAGCGTTCAAAAGTGTTTTACGGGAGGGCAGGGGGAAGAGGCTCCACGGAGGGGGCGAGAACAAAAGTTGGCGGAGGACACGAGGCGAACGGCTGGACATGTTTTTGACAGGGAGCCAGCGGCGCAGAGAGGCAGCCGCCTCCAAACAACAGCCCCGCATGTTTTGTCTGGGAGCGGAGCATCCACTACAATCTTTCACGGGATTCAGGCCAGGGGGCGCGGGGGGGGCACGGGGGACAAAAGGCCGAGAAGGCAAAGGGACTCCTGCTAGCTTAGCGACAGCCCCCCCTTCCCCTTTCCACCCCGGCTAGGGGCGCGGGGCACCCCCCTTTGTCCCGGCACCCCATCACAACTACCTTTTTTACTTTTCATCTTGATCGCGAGGACCGAGCCGATCGCCGGACACCCCACGCACCGACCCAAGTTTCTCTCCCTTCGCCGGACGCTGCTTTCCCCCTTTAAGCTCAGCGAGGAGGAGAAGGTCGATGAAGAAAGAAGAAACACCGCCGCGGAGCCAGGCGCCCGGTCACCGGCCGCGCTGCTGTCAGCGGGAGCCGCAGGGCTCTGCCTCCCCCGGGGGCTTTCTAGTGCGGCCGGGGTGGGCTTCCCTCCCCCCTTCCCTTTGTTCCCTTCTGCTGGCGATTGGCCCCGGCCTGTTAAAGTGAGGAAAGGCACGGGAGAGAAAGGTACACAGCGCCCGCCCTCCCCCACCTCCCCGCAGTGAGTACGGGAGAGTAACCGTGCGCTGCACTGGCACTCGCGGCGGCTGCTGCCTCCTCCTCCTCCTCCTCTCTCCTCCCTCCCCTCCCGGGTGTTGAGGCTCTGTCAGACGGGAGGGGAGGGACCGGCCGGAGCGGGGGGGTGTCCGCCTGTACCCGCTCGCTCATGCACACACAACAGCAGCGGCGGGGGGAGCTCTCCGTGCCTCCCGCTCCCTCGCCTTTCTTCAAGCAGACGTTTGATCATTAAACTGGAAGGAGAAGAAGGAAGAGGCGGGGGTGGGGGGGAGATTTTGACAGCTGCCCTTGACTAGCCTCCTCCTGTTGCTGCCGGACGAACCACCCACTCCTTCGCGTGAATAGAGGAGAAGAAAGAAGAGTCCGTACGGCAGGGGAAGGGAAGGAGCCCTCCAAAGACCGGCGCCCCCCTCCTGACTGCCGAGCCGATCCCCTATGGTGCTGAAGGAGCCCCGCCTGGCCGGCGCAGGCCACACACACCCCCACCCACCCCCGCGGGGAAGGCGAGCCCCGTTTCTGCGGTTATTTTTACATCAGTTCGTAAAAGGTTGTTTTTCTCCCCCTCGACCCCCCCCCCCCCCCCCAACAGCCCGGTAGATTTTGCTGCGGCACATGATCGCAGCTGTAAAAGAGAGAAGTCTCACAGCTTGACTCATCGCTGTCAGGCGAGCACGCTCTGCAGCAGCAACAGTTTCTTTTCCTCCGGGATGGGAAACGTGACACCCGCCAGCAGCTCGCTGCAGCCTCCCTAGCGAGGTGGAGAGCTCTCCCCGGGCACAGGCGGCCTCGGCGGCGGGTCCCGGCGCTACCCCCGCCGCCCCCCGACAAAATCAGATTTAAAAAAAAATAATAATAAAAAATCAAAACTGCTGAATGCCCAGCCGCTTGAAGGTTTCAGCGTGGAAAGGAAAGGAAAAGAAGCCGCCTGGCCGCGGAGCAGGCGTGAGGGCGCGGGCGTGCACTCATTCCACGGGAGCGTGTCTGTGTCACTCCCGCACCGGCACGTGCGGGGCTGTTCCCGGCCGGGCAGGCGCGGGGGGCGAGCAGCAGGCGCCTGAAACGGCTGATGAAATAATGGATTCCTACGGCAGAGCGGGGATCATTCCCTCCCCACCACCCTGCACCCCCCCAGCGGCGCGGGCACCCGCGCAAATCCGCATTCACTGCACAAGGGAAGCAACAGCGTTTTAGCAGCAAGCCTTCCCCAAGTACCTTGTAACTATTTTTATGTGGCGTAATTACAGCGGGAGATAAAACAGCTGTTGTACGCCGAACGGGGGATGTGTGAGGGGGAGGGCAGCTGGTGAGTCACGTCACTTAGCCAAGGACTCGGTGTCGGCTGCTCTGCGGGGCCGGACGTTCGCCCCGGCATGGGTGACCCTTGTGCTGGCGGCTGCTGGGCGGCGTGTCCGGCTGTAGGTCAGCGAGGCACGGCACACTGACTGACTGACTGACTGACGGCGCCGTGCCAGGCGGGAGCTTGTGCGGCGCGGTCCGAGGTCCCGCCGGCGGCAGCGCGATCCGGGCCATTGCCCGCCGACCGAGCGCCCTCCGCCCGCCCTTCCCGCCGCATTCCCGCCGCGTCGCCCCTGGCGGTGTCCAGGGGGTGCCGCTGCTCGGTGCTGCCGCCCCGCGCGGTGTCAGCCCGGCAGGACGAGGCTCGCTCGGGGCCGGTGTTTTCACCCGAGCCGTGCCCCCGAGGGACTTGGTGGCTCAGGGGCGGGGGTTGTGCGCGCACGCCGCCGTATGGCTTTATTTTGGCTTTTACTGTTTTGTTTTTGTTGTGGAAGAGCCCTGCTTCCCAGCTGTGAGGGCTGGCGCTTCGAACTGCTTGTTCCGAGCGTCCGGGCGATGGTCATGCCAAAAAAGCAATTATGGGAAGTTAACAAAAGACACGTCAAGGATTCGAAGAGATTTCCCTTTCTCCTTGCCGCCAGAGCCGCCTCACGCCTGTTCATTGTCCTTGGGACTGCAGGCAAATCTGTGGGATCTCTGAAACTAGCTCTTTCCTTATTTTTTTCCATTTTTTTTTTTTTTCCCTTAGAGGTTTGTTTAAATTGGTTTGTTTGGTTTGGTTTTTCTTATTTGACGAGGTCATTTCTATAAGGAGAAAAAATAAAAAAATTATTTTCACACTGAACTCAAGTTACTTTTTCTTTTCAAAACCTTTAGAAACAGCCTTTCTAGGAAAATATAAATTTCAACTTTGTGTGGCAGCTTTTTAGCTAGTAGGAGAAGGCTATGGACCAGTGGGTGTTCATTCCTAGCTCCTGTGGTATACTATAAAATGCATGGAAAGGTTTCAAAACAAGTTCCTCCTTCAACGTATGTAGGGATATACCCATAGCTGGGACCAACAGGAAAGATTGAAAGTGGGTTTGTGTGAAAGTTCACCTTGCAGTAGTTGCCTGGCGCAGTATCTTAGGTTTGTCCACAAATTTTGGCTGCCTTTTTTTTCCCACTTAAAGACTCCTGATATGTGCTCCAGGTGGTAGTGGGTTAAAGTTTGCAAAAAAAGTAGTGCAGTGGAAGGAAACCCCCACAGCTCTCTCTGCCGGTAAAACTTCAACACACCTGAAACAAGGCTGTATCTAAAAGGAGGGCAGGTGATTTGCCTGAGCTCAAATCTAATGCATTGATCAACTCAGTTTTGTAGCAAGTAACCTGGTGGTCTGTGAGATGATCATGTGTATTAGTATTGGCTGCTGCTTGCAGAAGTAGAAGGTACGGAAGGCAATATGTAGCTTTCTGCAGTTTTTATTTTCCCTTCGGGTGTTCGTGAGGCTGTGTTTTTAGAGTTACTTAATCTGCTAGAGCTGCATCAGCACTGTGAGTTGTATCTCACCAGCAGTTCAAACTGCTTCATGCTGAGCAACTTTGGCATCTCTGCAGCTCCTTGGGTAGGTAGTGGTGTACACGTGCATCAAGATGCATCTGTGCCAACAGGTTGGAACAGCTTGGTTTAGTCAGAACAAGTTCAGCTCTGTCTGGACCCATCTGCACAGACATGCTGTGTTTGTAAAGCTGGATTCTAAAAAGGGAGAGAAATTAAACTGGAGGGGCTGGATTTTTAATTACTCCATGATTGTCCAGCATCATAGATTTATCAGTTTCCAGTGATGGTGCGCACATGTTTCTGTCCTGTCACATTGCCGCGTGCAAAATACCTTGCACGACTCATTGTATGTTTCTTACTTTGCAAGTGCTTTGCTTTGAGGTGCTGGGACTGTGTTTGCCTAACTGCTGAAGTCTCCAAGGCGATGTTTCGGTCACAGAAACTATTAAAGGAAGTACTCTGGGAAATCAGGACCCAGGCAAATCAGGCTTGTGGACATTTGTTATCTTGGTCTTTTTATTCCAGTTTCCCATTTATTAACCAGATAGCATTTTACCCCCTCCCCCGCAAGGTTGTTATGAAAATAAATCCGTTGACACTTAGGTGCTGTTGAAATATTTGTGATAAAACTTATTAAATTGTAGTCAGAATAGAATTAAGCAGGACAAAGTTAAGCAGGTCACGCCTATGGCAGTAAGAGTAAAGGAATGCAACAGGTGAATATATCTGTCCATAGAAAAACAGGAGTCACTACTGCAGGTCACAGCTAACCTTCACCTTTTCTAGCCCATGACATTGAGTAGTTTCAGTGTTTCACAGGAAAGGAGAGGCTGCACAAGGCAAAAATTGAGGTAAAATTTCCCCAAAAATGTCCCATTCAAATATTTAATAGTTCAGTACAAGCACTGGAGGAATAGTTTAATAGAACTTCAGAGTTTATTACTGACCCAGCTGTATAGTCTTTACATTGGTATAAAAGTTTAATATCTTCATAGCACTAGAATTTTGTAATGGCATTTGAGTGGCAGAGAAGCATGTTGAATTGTGAATTACATAAAAATGCATTGCTATTTTTTTTTTTTCTTACTTATTTCATTTAATAGCCTCTTGTGCTTTGAGAAAAAAAACCCACAAAAATTCCTGCTTTGGTACCATTCATTATTTTATATCTTTCCTCATGACTGTCTTTTGACAGAAAATTTCTCACTCTTTTCATATGAGAATTACTCCCAACTTTTGCTCATTGCCAGTTTTTCTCCCAAGTGTATTTAATCCTACAGTGTTTGGTTTTTCAGTAAAGGGGGCTTATGCTGCTTGCAGTATTTCAAACGAGGTTATGCCTCCAATTAGAATATATATGTATTTGATATTACTCCCTGATCTATTTTTGTATGTAATCAGCATGTTAGGCTTTATCTTTGGATGCTGCTACATACTGAGCATGGGGCTCTAGCAGCTTTGGAGATTGTCTAGCTTGTATGAAGTTTCTCTTCTGCATGATTTCATATTCATATCAGTGCTGAATCTTTTGTCGTTGCATTGTTCATTCATGTAACAGAAGTCACACTGAACTTATTCATAAATCTCCCTTTCCCCAAATACATTTTTGATACCTGCAGACTCCATCACTGTTCTTTACCTGCCCCTGTCTCTCCCTCTCTCACTGGTCAGAGTTATTATGTTAAAAAACACTGAACTAAGTATAGGATGCAAAAGAACCTTACTAATAAAAAAATTTAAAATTTAATCTTACAGTTTTGATTCACTTACTCCAACCAGATATTCGTCCACGATACTGGTTTGCCTTTTTTTCCCAAGCAGTATTTTCGTTTCTCCAGTTGCATGGAACCCTGTCAAAAACCTTTCTGAAATCTGAATAAATTATGTCAACCAGCTGTGCTCTCACAATTAGAGCTCACTTTGCTACCTTTGTGCAAGGGCAGAAAGGGTAAATCTAAATCATGAAGACAATTCTAAGATTTCAGAACTTCTGCATAATAGACTCAGCAACCTGAATACGTTTTTCACTTGTTTTCTGTGTGCATTCTTGTGGTTATCAAAGATCAAACAAGTGCAAAAACCTCAGGAATTCTTTACGTAAAATCATACTGATTCCTGACTGCTGCAGCATCATGTTTGCAAGCTTTTGGTTCTCAGCAAGGACTCTAAGATGGACTCAAGGTAAGCGGTAGTACTTAGGATTCCTGACGAGGATCAGCTGCTGGAGTGATCTGTGCTTGCCGCTGGGGTTTTCAGACATTTGCTGGCAGAGAGGAGCAATGGCTGCTCTAGCAGGATGTAGTGCTGTCTCTCTCTGGGGCCTCCTATAGCTATTCCCTGTGCCAGCCCTTTGCTCCCTCATCTGCACATGGTCCTCCCTTATGTCTGTGTTTAGTGCATAAGCATATGGAAATAGAATGTTATTCTTACTGTAGAGACAACTTAAGTATATTCAGTGATATTAGTTATGATTATAAGACAGTGCAGAAACTTCTTGAGCGGTGTAATCGCTTCCACTCTGAGACTAAAATCTGTGTAGCTTCCTCTGGGGAGTGTTTGTGAAACTTGCATTAATGTCAATGTAGTTTTGTTTCCATAGTTTGAAGACAAACCCCTGTGTAAAATTAAAGATAAAAAAAATAGTGATTTGTAAATTTATTCTTGCTTGGAGTTAGTGTCTCCCCTTTCAGGTTTTAACTTAAAAGCACAGGAACAGACCTCATGTATTCCTTTCAGTGATGCAATTACAATTTTTGTCTACCACAGGAACATCTCATGGCTGATTTTTCCTCTTGTCTAAGAGGGGGTGCTCTGGCTCTCTTTTCTTTTGTCGTACACGAGTATAACGAGATCAGCATGACAAATGACACGATCCTTGACAGTCTCAGCTTAGCTCAAGAACTTGGGGCATGAGAGGAAACAGATCTTTCCTGAAATTCGACACTGTGGATGCAATTTATGCAATCTGGTTTTGCTTATCTGTAAGTCAAGCAGGTAAATCAGGTATGGCTGACCAAACAAAAAAGTGGTTTTAAGTTTTTTTTTTTTTTTTTTTTTTTTTTTGTTTTAGTCGTGGGATTCCTAACTTGCTTTTATTACAGACTGGTACTGCATACTGAAGGAGGACAAGGCAGGAGGTTTACTGCAAGACACCCAAAACAAGAGTGACCTTGCTTAGCTGACTTGGACAGTCTAGAATTTAGTTGGACAATCTACACTTAAGACTGTGCGTCAGCAAACTATGTCTAACTGTATAAAAATCACTGTATAAAGCAACAAAAACAGAGCCTAAGAGTTATCTGCACTTAGCAGCTGGTTCTTTTTTTTTTCAGGGTAGAATATTAATTTTGAAGGAAATGACTCTTAAAAGAGTAATAGCTATATCTGAGCACTTATATTCTGTTTAGTGTAGTCTACTCTAAAAGAAATAACATTATGGCTAGCCAAATATTTGCATGGTTGAGTCTACATTTGAAGTTTGTTTTGTTTTTTAAGAACTGTGTTTCAGGAACATTGTCTCTGAAGTTATTTCTGTCCTTAGAAGCCAAGGTTAAATTTGATTTCCAGAAGGACAAAAAATGTAATGGTAGTGAATGAAATATGCACAAAATATTACCTGGTAGAAGAATAAATTACATCACTAGTTTAGAGGAAAAACCTAACTTGGAATATTTGTTATGCCTGTGAATTAAGGAAGAAATGGTATCACACCTTAATACATAGGTGCTAAAAGACACACAGTCACCTTTTCCTGTCATTAGGGTGAAAGATTTATGTAGGAAATAAGAGTGTCTTCTGGCACTGCAAAATTTCTATACCTTTTTAGCAGAATATAAATGTGAGTGTTATTTATGAGGTATAATAGTACAGAAAAAACTGTTCCGATATATAACTTCATGTTCAACAAAGATTGAAAATTATACAGACTAATTAGAAACCAGTAGAATTTTATGACAGGCCACTGTTAAACACTGTGTACTGAATTTTGAAAAGCTGCCACTGCTGTCTGTGCTGTACCTGCTCTGAATATATTCTGAGAGCTTTGTTTTCAAAGCTGTCTGATTTGTACGTCTATGGGGTTTGCATCCACTTGATTGTTTTTGCTGCTGTTACTGTTCTATTAAACTTCAGGTGAAGACAATTTAAAATTAATGCAACTGTAGAGTTGGAGATTGACTTTTTACAAGGGCTTGTAGTGATAGGACAAGAGGGGATGGCTTTCAACTGAAAAAAAGAGCGCCTTTAGATTAGATGTCAGGA